GACTGGCCATTATTTAATGCTATGAAGACATGTAATGTCGGTTTCATTCACACTGGATACTAGAGGGCGCCCCTGCGCAGAAAGTCCACATATGCATCACCGAAGAAATAGCGCTCACGACTCCAGGAAAAACACCATACACATGTTTCCTTATCTCAGCGCACGACTCACGGACACACAAACAGAGCCAGTTTGGAGAGAAATAAAAAAAGACGGAAAACGCTCTGATTGGTTGATTCCTCATCTTTTTCTGTTGCTTGTTTACTGCGCGTGGACAGGTCACCGGGTTTTTGCGTAGTTTAGAGTGACAAATCGTACTTTAAGGTCAAAATGCGTAGCCGCTACGCAAAATGCATACAGGTTGGCAGGTCTGTCGCTGTGAGCAGCACATACAGCAGTGTTGCACTGTGACCTTGTTTGTTAGGGTCTGAGGCTACACAGTGCTATAATAATTTAACCAGACATTGTAAGTCAGCATATAATGATCATATGAACTCTTGTTATGGTGAACTCTAGTGTGGAACAGCATATTTTGATGATGATAATTGATCCTGCTAAGGTTTCTATGAAAAACAGTCTTAGGAAAATACATAGAAATTGCAACATAAGCACAAATATTTGGAGCCTCAAGGGGTTCATTTACTTACTACATTCTACTTGACTGTTTCTCAAACAGGAGTTAAGAAAACTTGACTTGATCTAATGCCAAACGGTTCGTATAAAATATCTGAGTGGCCTATGCCATAAATTTGTTTATTTTGACATGTGTTTCCATAAAGAGCAAGCCAGGATATTTGATGACGTGGCTGGATATCGGACAAGTCAACTAATGTAATAGTGTACACTCATAAAAAAGTTTGAGATACACTCCTTTAATCTATGGCAACTGTAATTAAGAAACCAGATGTAAACAATGCTGCTTTGTTGTGTGTGCTGATCGCAACACAAGCACTCTCCATCTAATAATTATGAGATACAATGATAAGACATTCTTAGATAACAGTTAGCTGGTTAAGTATCTCGCACCATAAATGACAGGTCCTCTGTAAGGCCACCTAGAAAGATAAATGCATAATCTGACCACTGGCAAAGAGAAATTATTTAGAAGACCTTGGGGACTCAAAAGATAATTTAACTTTTTAGCTGTAAGCAAGCAGAAATTGTAAGGGTTTTGAAAATAAAAGAAACATTAAGATGTAAAATAAGAAAGAAATATGTCAGATTCTGCACTATTTCTAAGTCACTATTCAAATCACTAATCAAATTAAATTTGTGAATTATTTGCAGCCTACAGACGGTCAATGTTCTTCCATCGAAGCTCAAGATGCTCTTTGGATCATCTCAATCACGCTAGAGAACATAATGATCAGATTTTACACAAATTTGCAGATATGAAGCAAAAATGGGACTTTCTGGAACTGTGGAAGGCTACGAAGCTGCAGTCCGTAACTTTTTTAGGTTAAAAATGATCCGAAATCAATATTTGAGCAAGTACATAACCAGCCAGTGTTCGAAACTATCGCCTACACTGTAGAAAAACATGGATTATCACATGTCTACCTTACATTTATTTTGAGAGAAGTATTCTTTTTTTATAGACTGGCCATTATTTAATGCTATGAAGACATGTAATGTCGGTTTCATTCACACTGGATACTAGAGGGCGCCCCTGCGCAGAAAGTCCACATATGCATCACCGAAGAAATAGCGCTCACGACTCCAGGAAAAACACCATACACATGTTTCCTTATCTCAGCGCACGACTCACGGACACACAAACAGAGCCAGTTTGGAGAGAAATAAAAAAAGACGGAAAACGCTCTGATTGGTTGATTCCTCATCTTTTTCTGTTGCTTGTTTACTGCGCGTGGACAGGTCACCGGGTTTTTGCGTAGTTTAGAGTGACAAATCGTACTTTAAGGTCAAAATGCGTAGCCGCTACGCAAAATGCATACAGGTTGGCAGGTCTGTCGCTGTGAGCAGCACATACAGCAGTGTTGCACTGTGACCTTGTTTGTTAGGGTCTGAGGCTACACAGTGCTATAATAATTTAACCAGACATTGTAAGTCAGCATATAATGATCATATGAACTCTTGTTATGGTGAACTCTAGTGTGGAACAGCATATTTTGATGATGATAATTGATCCTGCTAAGGTTTCTATGAAAAACAGTCTTAGGAAAATACATAGAAATTGCAACATAAGCACAAATATTTGGAGCCTCAAGGGGTTCATTTACTTACTACATTCTACTTGACTGTTTCTCAAACAGGAGTTAAGAAAACTTGACTTGATCTAATGCCAAACGGTTCGTATAAAATATCTGAGTGGCCTATGCCATAAATTTGTTTATTTTGACATGTGTTTCCATAAAGAGCAAGCCAGGATATTTGATGACGTGGCTGGATATCGGACAAGTCAACTAATGTAATAGTGTACACTCATAAAAAAGTTTGAGATACACTCCTTTAATCTATGGCAACTGTAATTAAGAAACCAGATGTAAACAATGCTGCTTTGTTGTGTGTGCTGATCGCAACACAAGCACTCTCCATCTAATAATTATGAGATACAATGATAAGACATTCTTAGATAACAGTTAGCTGGTTAAGTATCTCGCACCATAAATGACAGGTCCTCTGTAAGGCCACCTAGAAAGATAAATGCATAATCTGACCACTGGCAAAGAGAAATTATTTAGAAGACCTTGGGGACTCAAAAGATAATTTAACTTTTTAGCTGTAAGCAAGCAGAAATTGTAAGGGTTTTGAAAATAAAAGAAACATTAAGATGTAAAATAAGAAAGAAATATGTCAGATTCTGCACTATTTCTAAGTCACTATTCAAATCACTAATCAAATTAAATTTGTGAATTATTTGCAGCCTACAGACGGTCAATGTTCTTCCATCGAAGCTCAAGATGCTCTTTGGATCATCTCAATCACGCTAGAGAACATAATGATCAGATTTTACACAAATTTGCAGATATGAAGCAAAAATGGGACTTTCTGGAACTGTGGAAGGCTACGAAGCTGCAGTCCGTAACTTTTTTAGGTTAAAAATGATCCGAAATCAATATTTGAGCAAGTACATAACCAGCCAGTGTTCGAAACTATCGCCTTACTTTAGCCAGATTCACAACGGGCAGCTTATAATAATGATTTCTAATTTGAGTGGTACAGGTAGGTTTTCGCGGGAAATTCGAGCATGCCGCTGCATCATTACGTCACTTCTGTAAACATAAAGAAGTTGTCCCACGGCTACTAGGCTATATCACATGTGAGGATCCTGCAGCTGAAGGATCGTTTATAGCCTTTTCTCACAGCAGCCAGAATAATTAAATGTATCATTTTGATGGCGGATTGTAATCCATAAAGGATTATGTGTTTATGAAACACGTGTTTTTTGGGTTAAAATAATTTCTTAATATGAAATTCAAGGAGTATGACAATTAGATTAATCTAATCTAACTGACTGTGCAGACATTGAAATCTACACGCTAATACACACTATAGGCCTACTCACGGTCACCAATGCTGATGTTGTTAACATTAATCATTTGAGAATAAAGTATAACAATAATAATAATTTGAACGGTTTGATGTGATATGAGCTAACCGATCTTTAGATTTAATCACCATTGGTAGCGAGATTTATGGTCATGCTTTTTTCCTCAGTTGGTCAGAACAAATGTGGCAGACTTGCTACTTGTTCAGATGGCAATATACGGTGAAAATATCAAAATATCTTATTCGGGTCATATTCCAAGACGTAGGCTAGAATGTGTGATTGCAAAGTACAGTGAATATCCACACCGGTGCAGTGACTGACTGCCAAACACATACTCTTCAAAACATTAGATTCATCTCGATTTATCCGCTGGAGCCTTGCCAGAGTACAACCCACGAAAGCTAGATAATTCTGCACACAGCTGCAATTCCAGGTTTTCAAACAGAGATGGCGACAAAGAGGCAAAACTTACGGACTGCAGCTTTAAAATGTTGTGCTGACAATAGGCTATCAATTTTAATGCAAAAATATGTGTATCAATTTGAATGCAAAACGTAAAATAAAACCACATTGTGCATGTCCCTGAACTTTTCAACTCTCAAAAAAAAAAAAAAAAATTAAAGCAGTATAAAAAAAACAAAACAACAATGTTTCTTAAGTTAATAGTAGGCCTATCTTTTTATGTTTGCGCAACAGCAGTAAATGCAGGTAGTAGTTTTTCAAATAGTTTTGATATATAGCTATTCATGAATTAGGAAAGCAAGGTTTGCATACGTAAGAGTTTTGCTGAAAGGAATTCTTCGAAAGGTGTTACTAAATGTTGATTTTCTACTCTATATTTACAAGGTGTTATTAAAGGCGGGCTGACGGTTGAGTCTTCATGAGGCAGCTCGTGCTGGAGGCAGAACTGGAACAAACCTGTTTAACCCGGCAGAGCTCGCGCCCTCACAGAGCCACTGCAGTGATCCTCACTAGATGTTTCACATTGTTGTGTACAAAATGACTGCTATTCAATAACTAAACTATTTATGAAATACGTGTATTTCCACAGAGCACAGAAGGCTAGTGATGTCGCGGTTAAATAACTGCTGTGACATACCGACTCCTCAGATAATCTCCAGCAGGTCTTGTTAGGCTATGAAGAGTTTATTTGCGAAAACAGATAACTCCGTTTTTATTAATCTTAATAAATCATATTTTTTTATTTCATATATTGTATTGTGTTAGCATGTTTTTATTGTGTTAGTTAGCTGTATTTTTTTTTTTGTAGTTATTATTATTTAATCAAAACAACCCAACTGCAGATTGATTGGTAATAATTGGAATGCAGGATAAAAAAAAAACATGATTTATCTGTTTTTGCAGACGTGTTCTTCGTGTGTTTTTTCTGTGTGAACCATAGACTGTATATAAACACACAGACAGACAGCTGAGATTTGAGCTCGGTTCCCAGCGCCTGCAGAGACCGGCTCGAGCCGGGATAAAAGCTGCAGAGCTTCAGTAAGAGGAAACAGAGACAGAGCTGGCACATAGTACTTGATCTAGTTATAATTTCAGTGTTTATACATTGTTAATGAAGTCAAACATAAGCTAGAAACGATATATATTGAGCAGGGTGATTAATTAACTCTTTCTCCGCAGAAGTGACTGATGCTCAGAGCGATGTTCTCCAGTGAACACTTCAACAGAGAAGCCTGCTAGCTCTCTTGCTTTTTGTTTTCTTTCAATACCCCGAGTTTTCCTCAGTTTCTTCAACGTTTCGGTAAGTTAAAACGAGTTATACCCAAACTATATACTGTATTTGTGGCGCACGTGACTGCCACGTTTATCTAGTGAAGACATAGGCATTAAGATGTTATTTTCATTTTTTTAAATACGTAAAACAATTACGGGGTATGTGATTCACTTTTTGAAGTAACGTTAATCTGAGTGTTTTCACAGACAGTAATGCGAGTCGCCTGATAAATTTACTAATTGCGATTTATACCGCTTGATATGATAGTCAGCTAGGTAATTTTTCGACTTATAACTGCCTAGTGCCTATACTTGTGTCTTGATAGTTAACAGTCCACATCTTTAGACGTTTATTAGTGTATATAGACACTACTATCTTATACATTAAAATATTCATTAATATGTATACAACTATATATATATATATATATATATATATATATATATAGTGCTGCACAATATTTTTGTGGAAACTGTGATACATTTTATTTTTCAGAATTCTTTGATGAATAGAAAGTTCAAAAGAACAGCATTTATTTTATAATCATTTTGACATTATCAGTTTTGATCAATTTAATGCATCCTTGCCAAATAAAAGTATACATTTCTTTTAAAAAATAAAACTTTTACTGACTTTTCAGCGGTATATATATATATATATATATATATGTATGAAAGTTTGAAAGTGTTGCTTGGCTCTGGCACTCCCATTTTTCTCTAATATCCTAACAGTGGTTACATAACAAATGTTTTATGCAAACTGAGTTTTAGCACCTTGAAAGGTAAAATAATCCAGCAGACAGAGCCGATTAAAGACATGAGCGGCTTGCAAACACAGCCCGCTGTTGAGTTGACAAGGGCACACCATCAAAGCCGGTGTGGAAATTACATCATATACCTAAAACGGTCTGTACTGTAACTTTGCTTACATTTACAGAAACGCCGGTGTGCATCATGACAGGAATAATGTCTGCCCTGAAGGGCTGCACGAGCCCCAATGTGTACGATGAGGTGCCAGACGGAGGCTGGGGTTGGCTGGTGGCTGCTGCCTTCTTCTTCGTGGAGGTTTTCATCTATGGCATCATCAAGATTTTTGGGATCTTCCTCCAGGACCTCATGACAGACTTCAATGAAACCAACAGCAGAGTGTCTTGGGTCGTCTCCATCTGTGTCTTTGTCATGGCCTTCACAGGTAATTCAGTCTAGACGTCTAAAGATACAATACGATAGTACTAGGTGTACCTCACAGTGTTTACACAATGCAAATGGTGTTTACACAAGAGAAAATACTGTATGGTATTGCAGAAAGATTTAAGAATGTTGTCTGGTGAATGTTTTTGTGGGTTACTTCACTTTTGCAAACCTAAATCAAATTTTAATTACTGGCTTTTGCTTTTACTATCATAGAGGCATCTGTACAAGCCATTGTATACCATTTTTAAAGTTTGTTCCATAATTATCAATGCAGGTTTTAATCTACAGCGACCACAACTTCAAAGCTACACCAAACACACAACTCGGTTTTAGTTCAGGGAAGTTGAGGGGAAAAATAGGTCATTATAAAAAGACTGGGCATATACCAAAAGGCGGGGCGGGTGCAAAGTATAAAATTAAGAAACAAGCTGTGTCATCAGATCTGTCATTTCCATGTAATTCTCTCAAGCCTCAAGGGGATAGTTGACCTATAAAAGTGACATTTTTGCCATGATTTTCTCACCCTCATGTCATTTCAAAAGAGGATATTTTGAGAAATGTCTCTTTTGGTCCATTCAGTCAAAGTCAATGGACACCAAAACTGTTTGGTTACCAACTTTCTTCAAAATATCTTATTTTTAATGTTTCACAAATGAAATAATGGTGAGAGATGGGTCAACTATCCCTTTGAATTATTCACAAAAAGATACCAAGTTCCTTCAGTATGAACCTGTAAAACTGATTCTGTCTCCCAAGCTCATCTTTTCACATTGACATTTGTGCTGAGAGCGAGCAATGCCCCATTTAGTGCATGTGCTAAATTGTGCCATGTAAGGACTGCTGGCTGTTGGAGATTCACTCACTTTGCCCAGTGACAAAGCAGCCCCACCATTACATGACTCAATGGATGGATTCACATTTTTCCAGCTGAGAGGGCTTCAAAGGATCATTCTTGTTCAAACAGCGGCAGTCATTCAAATGGCTCAGATAGAAAGTGACTAGGCTGGCCAAGCAAAACTTGCTAGCGATACTGTCTTCATGCCTTTGCTGCAAAAATGAAACCACCATTAATAGATAGTTTAGGACAGTTGTGAGAAGGAAGTGCATAGATTCACTGTGTTTGTAATTGAATTTGAGCTGTAAAACTGCAAATATGTCACAGCTGTTCCGTGTCTGAGTGTTATTGTAAGTGTTTATGATTGGCACCTTCTTTCCCACAGCTCCTCTTTCCACGGTGATGAGTAACCGCTTTGGCTATCGGCCTGTCGTCATGCTCGGTGGACTCCTGATCAGCCTGGGTACAATTACAACAGCCCTTACCAACTCCATCATTGAGATGTACATTACCATGGGAATCGTCGCAGGTAAATCCAGCTCGAGTGTGAGTTTATATTTATGATACATGTTTTGTCCCGTATTGTCATATAACAAAAACATGTTAGATAAATGACTGCTGAATTGATTCAGTACTTGCTTTTTTTGTTGCAAGTGCAGTGTGTAACTGAAAAATGTTTTCCTCAGTGTGGTGTGGCATGATATTGTGAAAACTGATTCATATTTAATTTTTATATTAAAGAAGGAACAGATTTTCTATACATAACATTTGCAAAGTAACACTCTTCCTTTTTGTTTAAAACTGTTAGTTAGCTCTTAGAATCTGGTTAAAGTTCTATTTAAAATAAATGTTGTTCTTTCTATTCATCAAAGAATCCTGAAAAATGCACACAAAACTATTAAGCAGCTCAGCTGTTTTCAACATTGATAATAAAAAGAAATGTTTGTTGAGCAGCAAATCAGCATATTAGAATGATTTCTGAAGGATCATGTGACACTGAAAAATTGAGTAATGACTGCTTAAAATGTAGCTTTGCTTCACAGGAATAAATTACATTTTAAAATGTAATCAAATAGAAAACATTTTTTTTTTTTATTTGTAATAAATATTGCTTTTACAGTATTTTTGATCAAATAAATGCAGCCTTGGTGAGCATAAGAGACTTCTTTCAAAAACAGTTATAAATCTTACCAAGCTCAAACTTATGAAGGGTAGAATATGTTCTGTCATATAAATAATAGTCATGGATTCTGTCATTACCCATATTTATTTTATTTTCTGTTTCATTACTTTATGATGAATTATTTTTCCTTAGTAAACATGATGTTCTCTTCTATTCACTTACTTTTTTTAAAGACAGAGGGAATTCAAGCAGTGCTGTGACTGGTGTATGACTTGTCAGCATCAATGAACCTGATTCTTGACAGCTTTAGTAACACACACCCTTATATATATAACAGGATGAACGTATCATAGTGGTTTTGGGTGGAGTGTTTTCATGTGTTGACATACAGTTGTGGGATTCAAACACATTATCCAAAAGTGAACTTGGCTTATTTTAAACTTCCTTCTTTTAAGAAAGCTGTCAGTTATACACAGACACTAATTCGTTAAAATATATCTCATAATGCACATTCTAAATACCTTAATATAACACAATATGTTTGAAGATTTAATTTTTATTGAATAATTTATTCACACTCAAGCCATCCAATCCACATATGGAGAATCCCTTTTTCATTTATTGTTAAAATTAAAAAAAAAAATATATATATATAAATGCTCTCAATTGCTAAATTTTGAATTGACACTCAATGTGACCACATGCTCATTTTGTTTTTCAGATTTCTCAAAAGATGCACTGCTAGCTTTCCCCAAATATCAAAACACTCCCTCCCCACCATCATTAGTTGATCCTAACCTTGCCGATCTTTGTTTCTCCTTGTCTCTTTTAAATACAGTTTTCTTTCAGCCCTCTGTCCAGTTTGTGCTACGGAAGAGAGCAGCCTGGTTCTTGATGTGCTCTGAGCCCGGCCCCTCAGACTGACCTGAGCCCCTTGTGTTGAAGGGACCAGTGGCTGTCATCTCCCTCTTTGCTGTTTATTTACAGGCCTGGGTTACTGCCTTACCTTCCTGCCTACAGTTACTATCTTGTCGCAGTACTTCAGCAAGCGCCGTTCCCTCGTCACATCCATAGCCTCCACAGGAGAATGCTTCTCCCTGCTAGCGCTTGCGCCAGGTATGATCGCCAAAGCAGTGCAACATACTCATCTGGATGGTTCACGCAAAATGGAAATTGCGTAATTTTCTCACCCTCATGTCATTCATTCAAAACATACTTTGAAAAATGTTCCATCTGCTTTTATCCAAAACTGTATTTGACTCCATTGACTTTCATTAAAACAAAAACACTGGGACATTTAAAAAAAATATCTTCTTTTGAGCTCCACATATTAAGGACAGTCATACAGGATTGAAACGACATGAGGATAAGCAAATGATGATATATTATTAATTTGTGGGTTTACTAGCCCTTTTAACGCACAGGCAGACTTGTTTTGAATGTTATATATTAGCTAATCATGTACATAACATGATAAAAGTCTATTTGGAAGTCAAATATATTTGCATAGCCATAAAAGACTATTCAAAGGAAGCCTAATGTTTTTCAGACATGTTGAAAAACTGGTCTTTCTGTAATTCATTTCATTTGAATTCACATTGCAGCAATGAATGCGCTGAAGGAGCAGATCGGCTGGCGTAACTGCTTGGTCGTGATTGGGGTTATGCAGGCCTCAATTATTGTCTGTGGGGCTCTGCTAAAGCCAATAGTCATCAAACCCAAACCCGCCGCCCCAGAGAGTTCCACATCCCCCCTTAAAGAACCTGAATCCAAATATGACCTGGAGAATGAATTCACACGGACCTCTTTCGGCTCTGTGGACTCAGGGGTCCAGTCTGTCACCTCTTCCCAGATCAACCTGTCTGAGGGCCAGACATCTACAGTACAGGAGAAAAAAGCACTTAAGGAAAAGGAGGAAGAAGAAAACGAGCCACCAGTGCTGCCCGAGTCCCCACTCAAAAAGGAACTAGAAGACTCAAGCATCTCTAGGCCCAAGTTGTTGGACTTCTCTGTGCTCAGAGACGCCAGCTTCAACTGCTATGCACTGTTTGGCCTGTTCGCCACTCTGGGCTTCTTCGCTCCTCAGCTCTATGTCATTGAGCTGAGCGTGAGCCGAGGAGTGTCACGTGACCATGCCACCTACATGCTCTCGGCCATGGCCGTGGCTGAGATTCTAGGTCGTCTGTCCATGGGTTGGGTGCTCAATCGCAGGCCCATCCGCAAAATCTACATTCTGCTGATTTGCACGGTGCTGCTGTGTCAGGTGCTGGTCGTCTTCACCTTTGTCACTGAGTTCTGGGGGCTCATGTCCTGCTCCTGTTTCTATGGCTTCCTGCTGGGCACCGTGGCCTCCAGTCACATCCCAATGCTGGCTGAAGATGACGTGATCGGCATTCAGAGAATGTCATCGGCTGTTGGCGTCTATGTCTGTATCCAGAGCTTTGCGGGACTGGCCGGTCCACCTTTAGGAGGTAAAAGCAGCCTCTGTAAACTAACCTGGTTACAAACCACTCTGAACACCTTAGCAAACGCACAGTGATCTGGCAACCGGCTAGAACGGGGTTTTTTAAAGACTGTGAAGGACCCCTTTACTAAAATACAAAAGCAGCTATATATTTTAATGCATAAAAAGCCATTTATATTGTGTGAGTGAAATAAATAAAAAAATCCCACAAAGAAATATTAAATTACATTTTATGTATACAATTCATATTATTAAATGAAAATACAAATTAATATAAAAATGTTCACATTGTCATTGTGCTAATGTAAAAAGCCACTTGTTGAAATATGAATAGCTATTGATCAGGAAAATATTTACTTTTTATTGTGATGGCAGCATATGAAATTAACAACAGTCCATAGAAATATGATCTAAAATATAAAGGAAGCTACATATTTTCAAGCATAAAATTGAATTTATAATATGTGAGAAAAATATTCAATTTAAAAAACGTATCGAACATCATCAAATTTTATTAAATTTACTCAATTACATTTTAAGTAGACAACAAATTAAATATTAAATTACTCATTAAATATTTTACATTGTCAGTGTACTGCTAATGTGAAAAGTAAAACATTTTAGACGTTTTTAGAAATTGATCAACATTTGGTGAATGTAAAAAAAAAATCACGTTAAACACATTTCATTAATATCTTAAGTGCATCTTAACTTTGATAGCACTAAAAAAACCATTTTGTAAGATTATTTTCTTTCAAATGTTTCAGTGACCCCCATGAATCTGGACTCCGATTTGAAATACACTTGCAAACCATTCATACTTCCTCCAGAAATAGTTATAAACCTATAAATTTGCCTCCCACACACATTTATGGAGGTCATCTTGTGTTTTTTGTTTTAGGTTTTCTGGTAGACATGACTGACAATTACGGATCAGCCTTTTACTCCTGCGCGGCTGGGATGGGAGTCGGGGCTCTGTTTCTTGGACTGGTGCGTCCAGCCAAAACCGGCCTTTGCCTTGGGAGGAGAAAAAATGACCAGCAAACAGACAGAGACTCCAGCTCACAGGGTAGTGATTATGGCCCTGCCGACTTTGTAGAAATGGACATGGAGATCGACAACAGTCCTGCAAAGAGCAAACCTTGGCCAGTATGAATACCGCCTCACCTCAAGAGTAAACACGCTTATCCTCCACTTGAATGATCATCCCAAAGGCTGCCACACACAAACCCTGTGCAAACAGGGTCAAAACCTAACTTTACGTCAATTAAAGAAAGAGTTTTATCACTCTTCATTGCACTTTTTTGCTGACCACCCAATCATAATCCCTAAAACACGTTTACATTCCTTGTCATTATTTATTGAAAAGAAACAAAAGTTTTGAGGTTCCTTTCCTGTCATATTGTGTACCACTTACTAGTCTCTACAGATAAACATGCTTTTAGAGAGGACAAGAATTAAACCCATTAAGCATTCAATGCTATTCTTCTCATTTACCAAAGTCTTAGTGTGAAATGCAACTTCACTCTTTATTTCATTATTATATTGTCCACAAACCATCATACCGCTGTAACATATAAAAAAGAAACCTCAGGCTGTTTTGCTGCTTACAGTGAGGCCATGATGCATATGTATATTTCATTAGGTTCAGAGTTAAAGGTGGGGTAAGCGATTTTTCAAAAATGCTTTAGAAAACTGATTCGGGCCGACTAGCAAAACAAACTTGTAGCCAATCAGCAGTAAGGGGCGTGTCTACTCATGATGTGGAGGAGAGAGCATTCAGTGCTCACATTAGCGAGCCGAGCAACAGAAAGATAGATATGGCGGATAAAAAACAAAAGAGGAAAACGTCTGCGGAACAAAAGCAGGCTTAAGGCAAGAAGCAGGACCCGTGTAAATATCGGATCAGCTTTCCAGCGCTTGAGAGAACTCAAGGAGTGGAAGGCCTGCGATCGGACGCTGCGAGGTTGCTTTGTTTCTTCTCGATAGGTGAGTAACACCGTGTCTGTGCCACAACACAGCGACCGTTGAAAATCATTTGAAATTTGTCAATATAGGGCTGTGCAACTAATCGCATGCGATTAATTGCACAGCCCTATGTCAATACGCCATGACTAGAACGCAGCAGCAGTTTTCTGTCGGGGATTTGTCGTGTCGTACCACATCTAACCGGCTTTACTGTCGAGATGCGCATGACAATCGCATGCGATTAATTGCACAGCCCTATGTCAATACGCCATGACTAGAACGCAGCAGCAGTTTTCTGTCGGGGATTTGTCGTGTCGTACCACATCTAGTGTATATATATATATATATATATATATGGTGTAGACAGCATCACTGATTATAATGAGTTCTATAGTATTTTGTCACGCCACGCCACTCGCGTCCGGTGTAGACATGGTGTAACATTGGTTTTGCTTTGTTTCACAGAACTAATCGTTGCCTGGGTTGCGTACGTATGTGTGGGGCGGAGCTATCAAAATAGGGGCGAGACCCTTTTGGGGTAGGGGCGTGTTTGTTTTGGTGATTTCAAATGTCAACATTGGTAACCAGATATCACTTACCCCACCTTTAAAGGTGAGACAGGTACAGAGCTGTCTAGTGTTTCAAGTTTATATGTCATTCGTTTGCTTCTAGATAACGGGTCCGTGTTCAGTGGTTTAATATTTAACTAGTATTGCTATTGCAAATGGACATCTCAGCTTAGATGTTAATGTAGCTCTGATGATAAAGCAGGACTTGGACTTCCATTAACTCGGTCTTCCATTAAGAGTAACCCATCGTCAGTCAGAACTGAATGAAGGATTAGTTATGCTGACCCAATGTCTAAGGCTTCTGTCGTTTCAATTCCTGCTCAGAGATGTAGGCTGTCTAGAAACACCTTCAAGAGTTTCTTATGAAAAATTATGGCTATAGAATGTCATGTTATCGCTGTAAGTTGAAGTGCACCGTCTGTGCCTTGTCAAAGAATTCTGCGGAATTATGAAGATTGTTTGACTTGAAACAGGAAGCTTAAATGGGCCGTTCACGTAGAACACGTTATTTCATTTTAAAACAAGACGCGCGTTTCGAAGGGCATTTTTAAAAAAGTCAAAGACACCCACCCGTCTGTCGCACGTTCACTTAAAAAAACAGCGTAGTAGAACGCAAAAAAAAAAAAATGTCGATTTGGCGTTGACGAATGGAAAAGAACGCGTAAACTGCGAGTCTTGAGACACGTAAAAGTTGAAATTCTGTTCAATTAACAGTACACGGACCGAGTCTCCACTTCTTTAAAAACAACTGTATGTGAGTTTTTTTTTTTTAAACCTTTAAATATCAGTTTCAAGATCATTCTGATGGTAATAACTTGTAATAAGGCAAATGTCTACTGTGTTTCCCCCCCATGCCTCCTCCCAAACATCTGTTCTGAGTGTCTGTATGTTTGGTGCACAGGGACGAAACTCCGCGAAAAGGGCGCATTGGTTTACGGCAGCAACAAATGCACGTGTACAGCTATACATTGGTATTACTACAGTGATATGTACACAATAGTGAATTCCACTCAACTATAGGGGGTTCCAAAGTCGCAATAAAATAAAATTAAATAAAACTACATACAGTTGCTTTATTTATTTTTAAGTAATGCGCATCAATGATCTAGAGGTCCGTAAAAAGTAGCGCAATGGAACGTGTTCTGTGAGAACCGGCCCTGAAAACAATACACTGAATGAGCATCTTGACTGTAGTATTTTTTATGTGTAATTCACTACATGAATGACAGAAGAATGGGTAATTTGATGGAGAGAAATCACAGTATATGAGAACTAGAGTCAGTTCAAAATGAAAAAAGAATGAAATGTATTCTAGCACCATGTACTGCAGGAGTCTGTAGGTAAAACCCATTAAAGCACTTACCTAATGACTTGAAATCTTAAATACCTCTTATGTTCTGTAAACTCTTTTAATGTCAATCATGCATTTAAATACTGTTTGTTTAGGTTTTGTACTTTTGAGGAGAAGACATTTTGTGCATCCTTTAATTTACATTTTTTTTATTTTATTTTATGTAATGCAGACTTCTGACAGTGAGATCCTGCACTTCTGTTTTGAATATTGCAATGACAGTACATGTTCAATGTAGAATAAAAGCAATGATTTTTATAACTTATTCCTGTCATCCTTGGTCATTGGGGAACACCACATAAGCATATATTGTAGTGGCCTATAATATTTACAAAAAGCTGAGCCACGTTGCTGTGCTGCAGCAGTCGCCGTCTGCAGAAGATAAGCACAGCTCATGCAGCTGCAGTAACCGTAACCTCACCCCGTGGAGACAGCAGTATGGTATCTCAGGAGTGTAAAGTTCCCTGGAATGCCGTTCCCCATAGACTAACATAGAAAATCCATTGTGCACATTATTTTTTGCTGAATCATCCATGACATCAAATTGTAATTATATCACAGTTGTTCACACGGTTTTTAGATTTCATAAAAATCAAGCATAATTTATAAAACTCTTTTAAGAACAGTATTTTTTCATGCTTTGTCATCTATATTTATAATTGAGCAATTCAGAAATTGACAATATATTCATGACAAGCACTATATGGACAAAAGTATTGGGACACCCCCTTCTAATGAACAGGTTTGACTACTTATAATTTCCACGAGTCCAAATCTCAATGTTTAAGCATATAATGATGAATTATGTGCTTCTAATTCTATAGCAACAGTTTGGACAGGACCCCATTTTAACATGACAATGCTTCTGTGTATAAGGCAAGGTTCAAAAAGAAATGATTGATTCGGTTAGTGTGGAAGAACTTGACTGGTCTGCAGAAAGCCAAGTTAAGCATTTCTTTTTGAACCTTGCCTTATACACAGAAGCATTGTCATGTTAGAATAGAAAAGGGTCCTGTCCAAACTGTTGCTATAAGATTAGAAGCACACAATTCCCTAGAACATCATTATATGCTTAAACATTAAGCTTAGTACTTATGGAAATTACTAAATTATTCAAACCGGTTCATTAGTGGGGGTGTCCCAATACTTGCGAATATAGTGTACATGTCAAACATCACCCCCTTTTTTAACACCCATTAAGTTAAACGAATATAAAGTGAATAATGCATGGTTTTAAAAGATCTCATCTTTTAATGTTGTCATATAAATGAGAAAAAGCAAAACTCACCGAAACCCTGGATTAATTTGGTGCAACACTACAGCCTAGTGTTCACAAAATGGAATTGCACTTTCACCGATTCATTTAAAGAAATATTTGTTGAAATTAAAACAAGTTGCAGAATTGCTTATAGTTACTCCGAAAAGAAAAAAACATCAAAATGACAGTTTTTGCAAAATGATTTTATTGGGTCAATGATGAAGAATGAGGAAGCATAGGTTAGACTGTACAATGAAAGCAGGTCTATATTCTGTACTGAGCACAAGAGTCGTGAAATCTTTACCATGAATTATTTCGATATGAGGACTCAAAGCATCCACATTAATCAAATTTAAAAAAAAGCTAAGTACAAAAAAAAAAAAAGGACCAGAAATGTCCGAGGCATCAAACTGGAGGCACTAGGAATTCTACTTTGTGGCAGGCATAATTCTTGCATAATTATAAACTTGATTATCTGGGCAAAACCAAAAACAGCAAATCGGCCATCTCTGATCAGAATCACGTTTCGTAAAAAGGCTACAGTGAGAAAGACTCCTTTCTTTATACACCATCCTTAACAATTCTTGCAGGAAGAGCGGAAAACAAACAAACGTGAATGGCTAATGAAAGCCAACAGAACTGCGACAAAATCACACCTCAGCAGTGTACAGAGGAGGAATACAGCTAAAGTAGTGTATCTATCTGCAGCATTGCCTTCCTTTAAACATGTCAACCGTTAGGAGCTGATGCTCATTCTGACACATCTGTCACGGCTACACCAGACAGCCACATCATTTGCACAAGCACTTGGGTTTGCCCTCAAGGCTCCCAGATGCAGGAAGTCTTGGACTCATAAGCGTCCTCAGCTATTCCTTTGGGTTTTGGTTTTAACACAACACTTGCTTTATGAAGGTCTATAAGCTCAAAGGCAGATAATACAACTTTTTAAGACTCGGCATGCTAGAACTAGTCAGCAAATACTAGAGGCTGATACTCAGTATTTCAGCATCACCATAGGACGCTGAAATTCACTTAAATCAGTCAACATCTTGTGCTTGGAACGGTTTCGAGTTTGTAAAGTGAAATACTAAGGCGGATACTACGTCTTTACTAATATTGGACACTAAGATGATGACAATCTCCGCAATGCCCAGTTTCCTGGCATTGGGGGGCAGTGAATGGCACTAGAAAACACAGGACACTGTCAGTGGAGAGTGAAGACGTAATACTTGCTTTTCACAAGCCTCCCGGGACTTCAGCCAGGGGCGTAAGGCAGAATTCGACACTAGACAAAGAGTCCTCTACCGACAGGCCGAACTGCAGCCATCTGAATGCATAGACCACAAATACAGGCACCATTCAGCTGAGATGCACCAGCCAAAAGAGCAACAAGAACAACCCTGAATGGGGCGAACTACGGGCGGGGAGTCAGTATCTCCGGATTTATGGGTGCACAGTGGCAAAAAACAGCTATACATTTCAGAGTAGGTTACATATCCGTTAGAAAAGAGTGGGTGAGGAGAGTGAGGTACAGACTATTTACATAAAATACTTACTACAACAGTAGTATTCAGGGCAGACATGGCACTATACAAAGTAGCTATACACAACTGTTGAGGGAACGAGGTTCACAAAGATCTATCCCTTTGAAGGAAATTTGTTCGAATTATTGGTACCTTAAAACACGCGGCACTTGTGAATACAGACGCTTTTTGTTAGCGGGGTCTGACCGAGAAGCCAGTTTAGTTTGATTGTGGACCAAAAATCAAATTGTCACCTGTGGACAAAAAAAAAAAAAAAAAGAGATTCAAAAGAAAGCAAATAAATTAACAAGAAACCGTTTTTCGGTCCCTGATGGATAAAGAAGTTCTTCCAGACTCTAGCTAGGGCAGAGCGGAGGATGTCATCTGCAGGCCAGCAAGGAAATGTGATTTTCAGCCACCGATGGAGAGCTACAATTAGTGGATGTTCCTGAAGGCGAACAGTTACGCTTAAGTGGTCTATATTCAGCCCTGAGTTTATGCTGTATGCATACTGCATCTATCAGCTCGCCTAGCGTGGCTAACCACAGTAAAAGTTCAGTTTGTCAAGTGGTACGAATCGTAAGCGTTATCCATCAGCAGAGGAAAATCAGAGTGTAAACTTTTGAAACATAACTTAAGGCCTTTATCGGTAAATATATTCATAGATCTATAAAAAAAAAAAAAAAACGAAACTCAATTCTAAAATCTTTACAATTGATTAGACATCTACACGTTAAAAACACCAATCAAAACGAGGGGGGAAATTAAGGCCAGGCAGGCATCGACAGAAAGGCTCAGAACATAGTTCCTGTTAAAAGGTTAAAACAGCATTTGCATCTCATCTCGCTATTTGGTCAGTAATAGAAGGCTCAAAGGTAACAGATCAAAGAACAGTGCTAGGATATCTCATCCCGCTTCTCTCCTCTTTTTGAGGGAGGAGCGCATTGCGTTTGGCACCTTCGGCGAGAGGGTGACACGTACAGCTTCTCTTGGCAGGGCGAGTGGCCAGACCCACTCTCTTCTCGAAGCGCACTCTTTAAGAGAATACCTACCCGCCATCCCGTGCTCCTGACAGACCGCTAGGCTAGGCCTCCTTCTTCGCATAAAAGCACGTCAGAGCTATTCTGAAAGGTTACTGTGTGGAGTACAAACACTGGAGTCAGTTTCTTCTGAGCAGAAGAGGGTTATTTCGGAGAGATCTGAAAGGTAATTGCTGGACCAACATCACTGCAGCATGAGTTGTTTGAGGTTGTCGTGCAAGATGGTGTCCTTGACGTCACGAAAGACCAGGCGAATGTTCTCCGTGTTAATGGCGGTGGTGAAGTGGTGGTAGAGGGGCTTCTGCTGCTGGTCTCGGCGCTTGTTCCGGAAACAATCCACCAGGAACTTCTGCACGTCCTCCAGGTTGTGTGGCTCCCCTGTGTACTCGAGGAAGTAGTCCTTGATGGCCACCGTTTTGACCTTCTCCTCCAGCAAGTCTGTCTTGTTGAGGAAGAGGATGATGGACACGTTGCTGAAGACGCGGTTGTTGACGATGGTCTCGAAGATGTTGAGCGACTCCATGAGGCGGTTGGTCTGCCGGTCCTCCATCAGCACCTGGTCGAACTCGCTGGATGAGACGAGGAAGAGAATCGAGGTGACGCTGTCGAAGCACTCGAACCACCTGCGGCGCTCCGACCGCTGGCCGCCCACGTCCACCATCTTGAAGGGCACGTTCTTGATCTCAAAGTCGTACTCGTGAATGCCCTTGGTGGGCTTACGTGCCAGCAGGATGTCTTGCTGTGTTGGTAGATAGTCCTGTAGAGAGAGAGAGCGGCCGTCAACCACTTAGAAGAGAAAACTGAAGCTTCGAAGCAACATTTGATAGGAACATCTACTTTAGTTAGCTCCAAGCACAGGCCAGTGAATTGGTCGTAAAGACTGACTCGTGCTGGAATGAGATTTGCATGTGGTGGTTATATGATATGATATTAAATTAAATCATGTGGCAGTAGTTTGCATACCACATATCTGATAAAGAGCCCTTAACAGTTTGAATACACTACACAACTTTTAAAATCTAGGCATCATACACTTATCCTACACTTTCATTTATACCCATTGTTAATGGTTCCAGAGAAAACGTGGGAAATTTCTGTGATTTTTTTTCCCTAAAGTAGGAAGTTTCCCTAAAGATACTCTGTGCATACACACAGTCTCTTAACAATTCTGCAGAAATTGTCAATTCTTAAATGTCTTTTTAGCATTATACAAATATTAAAGAGAGAAATTACGGAGAATTTAAGGTGTGGGAACAGTGCAGATAAATTAATATAGGAAATTATTGCCTTTTATTTTCCACATTGCCTTCAATATATTATATACAGTATACAGTGGGTACGGAAAGTATTCAGACCCCCTTCAATTTTTCACTCTTTGTTATATTGCAGCCATTTGCTAAAATCATTTGTTAATTTTTTTTCCTCATTAATGTACACACAGCACCCCATATTGACAGAAAAACACAGAATTGTTGACATTTTTGCAGATTTATTAAAAAAGAAAAACTGAAATATCACATGGTCCTAAGTATTCAGACCCTTTGCTGTGACACTCATATATTTAACTCAGGTGCTGTCCATTTCTTCTGATCATCCTTGAGAGGGGGTCTGAATACTTTCCGTACCCACTGTATATACACAAACCTTTTCACATTTATATATAAATAAATAACAGATACAGAGGGGTCCAAATGTCAGACTACAACAGCCCCCCCACCCCCCACACACACATTTAAACCTAGAAATGAAAATGAAAACGTTTAAACAAATAAAGGTTATGACAAAATGAATGAGAAATAAATATTTCTAAAATTGTTAAGCTACTATCATATTTTTTTGTAATCAAACATTTTGCATTAAAAAGGAAGGAACGTGATCTCAGGCTTTTGGACTCCATTGTTTGATTTCATGGTTTTCCGTAGAGGAAAAAAGAAATTAATACTCTGATAATAAATGAGTAGAACATAAAACTCAAACTGTGGGGACAGAACAAGGGAAGAGAAAAAAAACAACTATGACGGACAGCTCGTGGCTCATTCTCCACATTGCTGGAATACCAGAGATGGAGGTTGGGGGTGGGGGTAAAGCATTAGCAAAAAGGTGTATCTGGATCTAAGCACTGGCCAATACAGGGTGTAAGGGCAAATGCACTCCAAATGCATTAGATTAAACTTTACACTAAAGCAAATGCAAGACATATCAAGTTGATAAGAGAACAGTGCTCAGTGCTCGCACATAAGACCTGAGATAGATTTCTGAAATTCCAGACAGGATGATGTCAAAGACACCTGCCTTGAGTGGACGAGACATTCATCATGGACCCATCATCATGGAAACTCTGTATTATGTGTTATTTTCAAAATACATGTATTTCACACCAAAAAATCTTGAGTAACTATTGCTAAAGTTTTTAATTTCAAATCAACTTTCATCAGTTTAAATGACTTCCCTTTGTTAGAAACTGTCAACATGTTTTTGGTTTGTTTTTACAAACTGAAGTACAAGTGAAAATTATTTCGTGTATTAATTATCAGCTTGCTGCATATGCTGTCAACAGATCTTAATTTAAGTATTTATTATACCTTTAAAATGTTAAATAAGGATTTCTAGTTGTATAAAGATGAATTGCTTTTTCCATTAAGAGCTTAAGATTAAACCTAATATTCAGTTCTAGAACCAAACATACACATCTCTCTCTGACACATGCTCTGCATTGCCTGTATTTTGTCACATGCCTGAGGTAACCCTTCTTCCTCATCTCCTCACAAATATTTATGAGTCTGGGTTGCTGAGGTCTGTCTCTCCCCCTACATCTGACAGAAGGATGAACGTAAACTGAAACAAACACATACTTTCCAACAGAGTCAAGTGGCTATTTCCCTCTCTGAACACACTCGGAAGCATGCACTATTTCCTCTTCCTGTTTGTCGATGGTGTGACTGCAGAAGTGGGTCCAAATTGCTGTGATGTGGCTGAATGAAGAGTAGCCGTTTGGCTCAAAAAAAAAAAGGGGG